TTTTTGTGGTCTCATATACATTTTAAGATTTTTTTTTCTATTTCTGTGAAGAATGTCTGTGGTATTTTAACAGGGATTGCACTGAATCTGTAGATTGCTTAGTGTGACATGGAGATTTTAATACTATTGATTCTTCTAATCTATGAACATGGAATATCTTTCCATTGTTTGTGTGCCCTCTCCAATTTCTTCATCAATGTTTGATAGTTTTCAATGTAGAGATCTTTCAGTTCTTTAATTCCTATTTTATTGTATTTTATCTATAGTAAATGAGGTTAATTTCTTGATTCTTTTTTTCAGATTGTTTGCTCTTGGCATTTAGAAATACTACTTAATTTTGTATTTGTATTCTGCAGCTTTATCGAATTTGTTTATCTGTTCTAATAGTTTTTTGGTAGAGTCCTTAGGGTTTACCAAATATAAGATCATATCATGTGCAAACAAAGATTATTTGACTTCTTCCTTTCCAAGATGTCCTTTATTTGTCATGTCTGATTGCTCTAGTTACAATTTCCAAAAATATTATTTTGTGTACTATAAATAATGTCATTGAGCACAGCCATGCCCATTTATCTACCTTTTGTCTATGGCTGCTACAGTGGCATAATTAAGTAGTTGCAACAGCAGATCATATGGCTTACAAAGCCTGAAATAATTACAATCTGGCCCTTTACAGGAAAAGTTTGCCTACTTTTAGCTTAAACCAAAAATTCTATTCACCCTTCGGTACTGGGTCATTCTCTCCTAAAACAGATGAAACAGTATTTTATATTTTCTTTTTCTTTTTTCTCATGGGAGTAAATTTTTCTGTATAAAATTTTCTTAGAAAAGAGTAAGGGGGTAGAATGTTTAGGTAGGCAACCAATTTGTGTTTGCTGGGTGGGAGAGGGTGAAGATACTGTTTGAGATTCTAGCACATTTTAAATGAATAATATAACTATAGTATTATAAAAAGCTAATTTCTCAAATATCATCAATACAACTTGTTGATAAGGCAGAGCTGACTTTATTGATTATGGTGGTAAGGAAAAGCACCACCTCACAAATGTTTGGCAGTGTCTGTGAGTGGACCTGTGAAGATTAGGTCAGAATTTATTAAGAATTAGAAGTTTGACTGACACAGGTATAGAAAGCCAAATACCACATTTTCTCTTACATGTGGGAGCTGAACAATGAGAGCACATGGATACAGGGAGGGGAACAACACACACTGGGGCCTGTTTGGGATGTGGCAGGGGGGAGGGAGAGCATAAAGAAAAATAGATAATGCATGTGAGACTTGATACCTAGGCGATGGGTTGCTAGGTGTAGCAAAACACCATGGCACATGCTTCCCTATCTAACAAACCTGTATGTCCTGCACATGTGTCCAGGAACTTTGAATTCATTTTTTAAATTTAAATTTTAAGTTTGACTCTAGGAAGGTTTTCCAATATAGGAACCTATTCAGGATTACACAAGAATTATGACACAACAATTCAGAATTGATTAAAACCACAAGGTGAGTCAAGAGATTCAGTAAATCTGAGCACAAATGTCTGTTGAATTTTCCATGAAAGAGTGGCTGGAACTTTGGGGGAAGTTCACATAAGGATCAGTGAAGCCATTTGGTTTGGTGGAAGAGCCCCAGAAGAGGAAAGAACTGCTAAGATAGACAGTGGAACAGCAAAGTCATACTTATGTAGATGGTAAGGTGTGCTTTGGAGTCTAAGGGTCCAGTGGTAAGCAGTGTTGGTTCTCCCTGTTTAGGGAGGTTTGTTAAGGATAATGTGAGAAGGTAAAGAAGGAGTACAACTGTGGTTAACTGAATTCATCTATCCCTCCTTGCTTACAAACCAGTTCTAATGTCTAGACAAAGCCTATGATGACTTAGCAATGATACTGTGCTAAATAATGCATCTCTGTTAGCTAACTCACATATAGCTGCTTCACTGCACAGGCTCTCAGTGCACTAAAGCATAGGGAGTAAAGGAAGAAAGTCTATTGACAAAGTCAAGATATCCTCCAGGACATGGCTAAAAGTATTATAGTTTAATTCAAAACACACACAAATGCATTTGTAAAGAAATGCTGTCAGATGATTGTAATGGATAGTGCATACTTTTAAATTAATTTTCTTTTGATGTGATAAAAACATCTTATGAAAGAGATGTTGAAGGCTGGTTTTTGATATAAAGTAACATAATTTAGATATTAAAGTAAAAAACCATTTGTTGATAGTAGTTGATTTAATTCAGTGCATGTACCAAGCATTATTTGCTGTAGGTTATAAATTAGATTTGAACCAGCTATAATTTGTAAAGCGTTACTTATGACTGATTTATAGAAAATCTCATTAATTTCAATAGCACAAAGACCTTAAAGTAAGCAAGAAGTAGAAAATAAAACTCAGCCTGGAGAGTAAGAAAAAATAAATGCATATACCTTATAATTAATAGTAATATATCATTGTGGTGTATGTTTTACTGACAGTATGTTCCTGATTATATCTAGTAATCCCTACCACAAATTTCAATGAGATATTATTGTTGCTCCTGTCTTTTAAAAGAGGAAGAAACTGAGTGTCCCATCACTTTATTTTTAATATCTTTGACTATTATATATTACTTCTTATGAGCCAGTAACTTTACATATACAGTATTACATGACAGTCCTAAGAAAAGTCTTTTGAGTAGATAATAGTGTTCTTTCACAGATGGGGAAAGTATAGAGAGATGAAGTAACTCTCAATTTTAAGGTCACTGATGTTTAAACGGATATGATCTCAAGAAGTCTCACATTAAACCCTTTTCTCTTGACCACAGAGCAAGATTGCCTTTACTGCATCATAGTTTAAAAAGAAAAAGGTAGCAAACAGCAGAGTAAGGAATTATCTTCTTTACTTTTGTGCTATTTCCAGTCAACCAGTTATTTCTACCTGTTTTGCCTGAGACCCTAGGATTCTCGGGAGGGCTATAGGGTAGGGAACGAAAGAAAAAATGGAGGAGCAGGACCCTGGGACCGGAGCCCTAAAAATGTTAATTTGTTTGTATATCAGGGATTTTGCATGCTATGTTATTTTATGCCCAATAACTTTAATAACATATGCCCTCTCCCCCTGAAACAGACATAGGTTTCAGGGGGAGAGGGCATATGTGAAACTACACTAAATCACTCAAATGATTACTGGAACTGTAGATAGCTTTCGATTGATAATGGAAATATAAAAGAGTCATTTAAGCCCATATTTGAATTTACAATGAGGATAGCTCTATCTGACTTAGGATGTAAAACCTACCAACCACATTGTTGTCATGATATAAATGGGACAGGGGAGTAATCCTATAAAACCTATTAACAGGATTGACATGATGAGCCAGGCCCTGTTGCTTAGTGATTGTTTTAGAATGCAGGTTTTATTATTATTTAGCTAGAGTGAAGCAATGGATCAGGAGATGGCTGCCGTTTAAAAAGTGAGGTTTTGGGCCAGGCGCGATGGCTCATGCCTGTAATCCCAGCACTTTGGGCAGCCAAAGCAGGTGTATTGCCTGAGGTCAGGAGTTTGAAACCAGTCTGACCAACATGGTGAAACCTCGTCTCTACTAAAAATACAAAAAAAATTAGCCAGACATGGTGGCATCTGCCTGTAATCCCAGCTACTCCGGAGGCTGAGGCACAGGAATCTCTTGAACCAGGGAAGCAAGGTTGCAGTGAGCTGAGATCACGCTACAGCACTCTAGCCTGAGCAACAGAGCAAGACTCTGTCTCAAAAAAAAAAAAAGAAAGTGATGATTTTACTCACAGCTCACAGGAGGAGGGGGCATGGCACAGCATAAGGAACCCACACTGGGAAGCAGCAGGGTCAGCCAATACAGACAGCGGAAAATGTGGGCAAGAGCCTTTATTGTGGTTTTAGGGAAAGGCAAGATAAGCAGGCTTCTGACTGGCTAGTTTTTGAACAATCTGAGCAGTCTCTGGGACATAAGGGCTGTCTCTTGTTGCCTGGTAAGTGGATGTAGGGTGATTAGGGAAGGGGAATGGTGGTCTCAGTGTAAGAGTCCTGGGAGAACCTGATAAGGTTGCTAGGGTTTGACCTTTGGATTGGCTGGTTTGCATATGAAAGTCATGCTTATGGGCAAGTCCTTCACTATTGAAAAATATTTTGCCTTTACCTTTATTCTCATAGAAACATTTTTATGTTATATCTGAGATCATATCTTCTGGGACCAGTCTCATGAATGTCTGAGCCCTGATTGATTTATACTAACATGTGACTTCTTGAATGTCACTTCTATATTTCTTCATTTTGAAAATGAAAAGAATGACAATTCGTACTTCAGAGAAGTGATGTAAGGATGACAAAAGATTGCAACCAGCTTCACAGGCCTATATCCTGTGCAGCTGCAAAGAAATCCACATTTAGATGGACCCACACTTGGTTTAATGGACTTTTGTTACTGATTTGAAATGATTAATTTTATAAGGCTTCCTACATTTTTATCTCGCACTGAAAACCACAAATTCTGTAGCCATTTCTAGACAGGCTTGTTTGTAAAGTCCATCGCCCGCGGTGTTTGGTCCATAGAATAACCTTCAATATAATATGTCAGCTATTACTACTTTTGCAAAGGAGCTTTTAGTTTGTTTGATATAGCCCCAAAGTCCTATTTTCTAAACTTTTTCAATCTGCTGTGGACATTGAAGCTATGGTGGAGTATGCATCGTATGTCCTCATGAATTTGGGCCATATTTGATTGGCAAACAATACTTTACGGTCCTCTACCTCATTGGTCCCTTACTCTGTGGTTATACATCTCATGGAATGTGGTCTTTGGACAGCTCCTCATTTGGAGTAAAGGTACATTTGCCTCTAAATATGAACCACATAATAAAGAGTATTAGATTTGTTTTTGTCTGACAAATGACGGCTTTAGCTGATACACTATTATCACTGACACTACTCCAGAAAGACACTAAGAGTAAATCTAATCTAATAATCTTTTTTTGCTTTTATTTTGCAGACTGTTTGAAATCCAGAAGGACCAACACCAGATAAATTATGAATGTTGAACAAGATGACCTTACATCCACAGCAGATAATGATAGGTCCTAGGTTTAACAGGGCCCTATTTGACCCCCTGCTTGTGGCGCTGCTGGCTCTTCAACTTCTTGTGGTGGCTGGTCTGGTGCGGGCTCAGACCTGCCCTTCTGTGTGCTCCTGCAGCAACCAATTCAGCAAGGTGATTTGCGTTCGGAAAAACCTGCGTGAGGTTCCGGATGGCATCTCCACCAACACACGGCTGCTGAACCTCCATGAGAACCAAATCCAGATCATCAAAGTGAACAGCTTCAAGCACTTGAGGCACTTGGAAATCCTACAGTTGAGTAGGAACCATATCAGAACCATTGAAATTGGGGCTTTCAATGGTCTGGCGAACCTCAATACTCTGGAACTTTTTGACAATCGTCTTACTACCATCCCGAATGGAGCTTTTGTATACTTATCTAAACTGAAGGAGCTCTGGTTGCGAAACAACCCCATTGAAAGCATCCCTTCTTATGCTTTTAACAGAATTCCTTCTTTGCGCCGACTAGACTTAGGGGAATTGAAAAGACTTTCATACATCTCAGAAGGTGCCTTTGAAGGTCTGTCCAACTTGAGGTATTTGAACCTTGCCATGTGCAACCTTCGGGAAATACCTAACCTCACGCCGCTCATAAAACTAGATGAGCTGGATCTTTCTGGGAATCATTTATCTGCCATCAGGCCTGGCTCTTTCCAGGGTTTGATGCACCTTCAAAAACTGTGGATGATACAGTCCCAGATTCAAGTGATTGAACGGAATGCCTTTGACAACCTTCAGTCACTAGTGGAGATCAACCTGGCACACAATAATCTAACATTATTGCCTCATGACCTCTTCACTCCCTTGCATCATCTAGAGCGGATACATCTACATCACAACCCTTGGAACTGTAACTGTGACATACTGTGGCTCAGCTGGTGGATAAAAGACATGGCCCCCTCCAACACAGCTTGTTGTGCCCGGTGTAACACTCCTCCCAATCTAAAGGGGAGGTACATTGGAGAGCTCGACCAGAATTATTTCACATGCTATGCTCCAGTGATTGTGGAGCCCCCTGCAGACCTCAATGTCACTGAAGGCATGGCAGCTGAGTTGAAATGTCGGGCCTCCACCTCCCTGACATCTGTATCTTGGATTACTCCAAATGGAACAGTCATGACACATGGGGCATACAAAGTGAGGATAGCTGTGCTCAGTGATGGTACGTTAAATTTCACAAATGTAACTGTGCAAGATACAGGCATGTACACATGTATGGTGAGTAATTCCGTTGGGAATACTACCGCTTCAGCCACCCTGAATGTTACTGCGGCAACCACTACTCCTTTCTCTTACTTTTCAACTGTCACAGTAGAGACTATGGAACCGTCTCAGGATGAGGCACGGACCACAGATAACAATGTGGGTCCCACTCCAGTGGTTGACTGGGAGACCACGAATGTGACCACCTCTCTCATGCCACAGAGCACAAGGTCAACAGAGAAAACCTTCACCATCCCAGTGACTGATATAAACAGTGGGATCCCAGGAATCGATGAGGTCATGAAGACTACCAAAATTATCATTGGGTGTTTTGTGGCCATCACACTCATGGCTGCAGTGATGCTGGTCATTTTCTACAAGATGAGGAAGCAGCACCATCGGCAAAACCATCATGCCCCAACAAGGACTGTTGAAATCATTAATGTGGATGATGAGATTACGGGAGACACACCCATGGAAAGCCACCTGCCCATGCCTGCTATCGAGCATGAGCACCTAAATCACTATAACTCATACAAATCTCCCTTCAACCACACAACAACAGTTAACACAATAAATTCAATACACAGTTCAGTGCATGAACCGTTATTGATCCGAATGAACTCTAAAGACAATGTACAAGAGACTCAAATCTAAAACATTTACAGAGTTACATACAACAATCAAAAAAAGACAGTTTATTAAAAATGACACAAATGACTGGGCTAAATCTACTGTTTCAAAAAAGTGTCTTTACAAAAAAACAAAAAAGAAATTTATTTATTAAAAATTCTATTGTGATCTAAAGCAGACAAAATTATGTGTATTCCTCAGAACCTGTTTTGCTGCACTTATTCACTATTTCCCACATCTCGTTCCTCCCTTCCCTGATTGCCATATTTTTCATAGGAGATCTCAATTCCCTAAAGAACTGGTCTAGGAAATTTTGTAAGAATTCTGTTATACTTTGAGATTTTTATGGTGAATTCTAGTGGTGAGATCCAGTCTATTTTGTCTCTCTCTTTTTAATTTTTTTCTTTTTCCCTCATACCCATATGAAGTAATCCAATGGGGAATGCAATATTAGAAATAGATTTTTTAGAGAGAACAAGGAAAAAAATGCAAGATCTTATATTTTTCATGTAATGACCTGCTCTGTATTTATGAGGAAGACCATTCTATGGAAAAGAAAAGAAAGTGAGCAAACAACAGATTAATTTACATATAAGCATCTATAAAACCCATGACTTTTAAACAACTCTAGAACCAGAATTTGTAGTTAAAAAGCTAAAAATAAGATTATAAATAAAATATTGTTGGTTTTTCTGTACCTGGACACAACTCATTTGTAGTATGGCTCAAATGTGAGAAACTTGAAGGTAATTAGATTTTCTTCTTTCTAAGAAAGAAAATACTACAGTATTCTTTAGTCACAAAATCAGTCTCTACAGGGTCCTGTCTGACTAGTTGACTTGAGTTTTAGATCTATGCTTAAGGATGCTGTGGTATTTTTAAGGTTGTGGAACCCTAACCTTCTCTTTAGGGTTACTCCTTGTAGATGCTCAGGTTCAAAAATAATGATTTTGTGAAGTAAATTCAATTCTACTTGAAGGAAAGTTTCAATATAATTGATTCACTGTCTCCTCAATAAAACTTCATTGGCCAGATGAACTAAAATAGCAAAACAGGAAAGTATTCTAAGTCATCTAGAGCTGAAAAAGAATATTTGGTGCTGAGTGTTAGCAAATTTAGTTCAATTCAATGGTAATTATTAAAGTCCTACTGTGTGCAAAATATTGATTTTAGTATTGTGGGTGCACAATTGAGAAGCTCTGGTTCCTGCTCTTGCATCACTCCCAATCTATATAAAAATAATTAAAGAAATCATCTAGTATATTACTGGTTGCCAGCTCTAATTTACTACTAGGTGAAAGGAAGGCTGTGAATCAGAACCTTAAATTTTCAAAATATTACATTACTGTTATTATAGAAAGCTCTTGGATTTATGGTTTCTTCCATCCTTCTGCAAGAGGTGACGTTTTCTAAATTGCAGAACTTTAAGGAAGTGTAGGTTTAGATTTGTTCTGAAGGATGAATACATACCAGGAGATGGCAATGCTAATTCAGTGGTAATTCATTAATGGTATTTTTTAAGGAACTGGGGGCATTTTGGCTAAGAGACCATACACTAGCTTCCAAGCAAAAAAGGAACATGCTGGTTGTTGCACCTTGGCATTCTTCTTATATTTTAATATATTATGTATATGACATCTATCTTTATGTGGACAAGTGAATATATACAGATCTTATTACTGATCTTGAAACCTGCTACCTTGGTGGTGAAACAAGGACTGACCAAGCTGAAGGAAACTTCAGCTCCTAATGGCTAAGAAGCTTGGATACTCACACTTAACTCTAAAGGCTGAACCTTACTCCATGGTTTTGTGGTCTCCAGGTGTGAAAAATCAATTATTACCAGCAAAATAGGTCAGATAAATGGCAAAAAAGGACAAGAAATGCATGAGAGCATGCAAGAATCTTGCTTCTGTTTTTTGATCACTAATTCTCTGGCTTTTTTTCTTCCTTATGTCTAACCTCCCTTTGTTAGGAACACAATTCACACTTGCTTTCATTGGGGAGAAGACTCAAGAACAGGGAAAATATTTGGCTATTGTTTGTCAAGTTATTCAGTATTGAATATACTTATCATATTCTCAGCCTGCAATCACAAAACAAAACAAGCAACAACATAAAAAACACCAACAAATATGTATAATAACAAGCAAGTGCTAGTACAAAGAAAAGTGATATCAATCGAAAGGGAAAATGATCCTCCTTTCTCTACTTGGCTTGCGTCCACCAAACCCTGTCTTTGCTGACTCTGAAGCTTCTTTCATTTTAAGCTTATAATTCTTATAGGTTTAGTCCAAGTACGCAATTACCCTTGGCTGTGAGAGGTGGCTAAGCAGTTAGACAAATGCTACTAAATAGGATGAAAGGTGAACTTGCACTTAAAAAGTTAGGTTGGAATCCAAAGCATACAATTCAGTCTCCTAGGAGCTCACAGTATAGTATTAATGAATATATTTTGGGAAAAAATTTGATGCAAGGTTTAAATAAACCAGACTTGATTTCTATAATAAATTTAGAGACTCTTTTAACCAAAAGTCCTCATTGCAGGTTTTGGCGATAAAGGGTGGAGTGCTATAAATCTACTATTTAAAAAAACTCAAATGTATTCCAGATATTTCTGATTAACAGTAAGCCTCTATTTTCCCTGCATAACATATTTGGTCCTTGGCCCATCAGAACAGTAGCTGCACTGATATGTTAGAGACCATTACACACATGAATTTACTTGGTTTAGCAGGAAGCCTATGTGACTGTTTAAATGTTCGCTATATTGTTGCACCAAAATACAACTCTGTGTCTACTGATCATTTTATTCTATCCAAAGGCAACTGGGTGGCAGTATTCTGAAATATGTACACAAAAAAATACACCATTTACAATTCACCAAGTTAAAGTAACTCCATGATAATCTCTCTCTCTCTCTCTCTCTCTGTGTGTGTGTGTGTGTGTGTGTGTGTGTGTGTGTGTGTTTGTATCTCCTACTAATAGTATGCAGTTTGCTTCCCTAAACATCAAAGATGCTTTAGAAAGAAGATTCTCTAACATCTGTTTCTATTCAGGAATTTTACTCTTCCACATCTGGTCATGCTCTTAATCTAGAACAGTCTTTTGAAAAGTATACAGATGCATTTGCATTAGCAAAATAATAGAAGGATTTGGTTTAGCTCACACACACAGACCCAGATATAACTTTAATAATTTCCCCTCATATTTCAAATATTCTGAAATAATGTATCATCTTTTTCAAAGATTAAAATAAGTTATTTGCACATGGAAGAGTGATAAATATTTACATAGCAAAAAAAAAAAAAAGGCGGCGGCAAGAACGCGTATTAAGAATAGCCTTCACGGAAACATGAAAACATATTAAGTGGATGGCCCCAGAGTTTCCAACATTTTTAAGGTAAAGATTGATGAAAGTGAAAAAAAAAACCAACTTCAATCTCTTATCCTTTTGGAATAATCTTCAACATATTTAGATAAAGTGGAAGAGTTAGATGAGTGCTAACAAATAAATGCGATACTCTAAAGTAATGTAATTTTAAAATATTGTGTTCAATTACTTATTTGGTGCTTCAGCTTGTTTTAATAAGAATCTTGAAAATAATGATATCATGAACTATCACAGACATAGCATGTGAATGCCTAGGTAAGCAGTCACACTCTGCTAAGAAGCTGTTTGTCTCTTTCTCTTAAAAAGAGTAGCATAGAATCAAATCTCTTATAAAAATATATCCTCAAATTACACATGCATCTTTATATTTGATTAGAATGTGATTCTGTACAACAGCTACTTCTGATAAAAATGAGTCTAAAAAGTTACCTTCTAAAAATCAAAGTCCCTGTGATTCTTTCTCTTCTTTTGCAAGAAGAAATATGGATTCCTAAAAGCCCCGTACATATTAGATAGGAAGCAGCTGGGACACTACTCTCTTCTCATGCTCCATCAGGATACAGAACAAGATACATCTGGCTGTATGAGAGAAAAAAGAAATCTTCTAGAATTAATGTAGCACACTGTCAATTAGGATCCAAATTTAGATACTGAATGAAGCATTCTCAAAACACATACCAGTTCACATCCTTCTGTTTCTTAAACTGCTGCCAACAGAACTTCCGAAATTTCAACCTTGAGGAAAACTATATAAATTATATGTAAAATTACATAATTAAATTTTATAATATGTTTAGCAGTAAAATGTAAAACTGCTGTTCATTTTTTGTTTTGCCCAGGATTTAAAAAAAAAAAGAGATGAACTTGCTGTAAGACAGACAATAAATGAAGCTATTTTAATGAAAGCACATGATACTGGAAAAACCTTTGTTTTGTAAATTTTTTTCTATGCAGAAAATGAGCCTATCTATCTGTCCCTTGCAGAAAATACAGAAAGGAAGAACCCATGAAAATCAGACTATGAAGTCTTATTTTTCATTATTTGGTCTAGTAATTTAATTTCACTTTCCAGATTATTAATGCTTCACTTTATTATATATTTGATGCTGAATTGCTGAATATGACTTGTCTAAATGGCATCAATCCTGCCTTTATCTCATTGCCAGAATAGTGAATATATTGCTTTTTATCCCAGTGAAAGGGAAGATTTAATGTTGTTTGAAGGAGAGGTGCTGATCTGTGTGGTGGCAGTAGAACACATTCTGACTGATGTCCTAACCTTGAAAACTTGCCAGAACATCCAACTGATCAACCGTAGTTCAGCTATCATGGTAGAAACCCATTATGGGCACCCTTAGCAACTATTTTGCCTATATATTACTACATCTACCGAATGGCAATTAGTTAACCCCCTTACTTCTTCAGCCCTTACTTCCACATTGAAAGAGGTAAAAAGTCGAGCTCACCAATTGCTATTTAAGCACATTTGCTAGTTTTGTAAAGTGTATAGACTTCTAAGGGGAATCTATGAAATCTCAAATAAATATATTAAAATATGCACAAAATAAATATATGATATATACGTTTTATGCTAGTTACTATAAAATTTTAATTAAAAAATTTGTAATACTAGGGAAATCTCAGGTTTTACTAATGGAATTATTATGAAAAATATTAATGCTAATACAATTTGTAAAATGCCTTAAAAGCTAGATGCTGAAATGGACTTCCAGGTCCTGTAGCTACTTCTATTAAAATAATCATAATAATGTTTTACAAAATGAGAAAAGTAATATAGTTTCTCTTTCCAGTTGCCCTGAAGCAGACTAACTGATGCTTGTAAAGATGTTTCTCAGCATAAATGGATTGTTAAGAGAATGAACTTCGGTTAATTCTGACCTTAAAAAAATGTCAAGTAGCTATGTATTTTCATCTGAAACATTTTCGAGAGTCTTACAAACAAGTCACTCTAAAATAATTAATGACAATGTTTATGTGCTCAATAACATTTTGGTTTTTCAATACATATTCTTAACCCTATGTGAAAGTAGATTGTATCCCTGGTTTTCATTTTTCGGCATATTTTTAGGTTTTCTAAGAGAAGTATAAAATCAGAATCTGTCACTACTGCCCAATATTTAGTTATGCAATCTGGAGTTCAACTCTAAACAATACTGGGGCAACTCATGTAAGTGAGTGAATTATTGCCGAGGCATTGACGTGTGCCTCTTTTTCATTCTACTCTTAAATCCCACTTAAATAACCTGATAGTTTTATTATGATTAATATAAATTTTACCTTCAAGAAGAATTGAAAATTTCACAATACTGAAAAATGCTTGAAAGCTGGAGATTATGTGTGTGTGTGTGTGTGTTTTGAGATAAAGTCTGGCTCCATCATCCAGGCTGGAGTGCAATGGCATGATCTCGGCTTGCTGCAACCTCCACCTCCCGGGTTCAAGCAAGTCTCCTGCCTCAGACTCCAGAGTAGCTGGGACTACAGGTGCGTGCCACCATGCCCAGCTAATTTTTTGTATTTTTAGTAGAGATGAGGTTTCACTGTGTTAGCCAGAATGGTCTCGATCTCCTGACCTCGTGATCCTCCCACCTTTGCCTCCCAAAGTGCTGGGATTACAAGCATGAGCCTCCGTGCCCAGCCCTATATATATTTTATGAACAAAAACATCATCACATTTCTTATCAAAGACAAGTGCCAATATACAGATAGACTATCCGTAAGAAAATAGGTGCTACTAAAATAATCTATTGGCCAACAGCTTTATTTCAATGATATTATCACTAAACTTGTAAAACTAAATTTATTATAAACCCTGAAAGTGATTAGTAACTATTATTTGAAAGCTATTT